GAGGACCGAAGACTTGTGAAGAAGATAAAATTGTCTAAAACTCTCCGCAGTTATAATTTTCTAGTAATGTGTAGTGTAGTGAAACCGACTTTCCTGTGTGATATTTTATTTGGAGGGTACTGTACGCGGCCTGCTGTCATCCCTTCCAGCAAACCTCTGGTACGTGACTCGCTCCGAGGTTCCAATTCACAAAGTTCAGCGGCCAAAATCGCTGGAACGCAGTAAACAGTGTTTCGTGATTTCTATTCTGCCGCGTGCCTCTGATAAGTTGTCGCCTTCTGGGTTATGACGCCGTGTCAGACTTGCGAGTAGATACCAGAGTTTCGGAGGAGCGTACCGCTTCCATCTTCAGCGCAGTGAAAACTTGAGATCTCATATTTTGTTTGAGTGTGGATATACGCAGGCAGCTGAGAGCGCTCTCTGTCCTGCAGTCGGGGCAAAATGAACTGTCGTGCAATTAGAAGTATATGACGCGGGAAATTAGCTGTGGCAGGGCGGCTCGCCCTGCCTGCACTTCGCTCCGAGCCGGGCGAATGCATATTAAAAAACGCACGAGCTCTGTTCGTCTCCTCACCTCACCCCACCCCCGAGAAAACCCGTCAATTCCCCCGGCGGAGAAGTTTGCGCGTTATTAAAACTTGTGATGAGTCGCAATTAGGAGGAGTTTATTTCCCTCGATGAGAGTCAGCGTCGGACTGGCTACCGAAATGCAGGCTTCGAACTCTGCAGCTGATAATTCTATAACAACTTGTACTGGAGGATAATATTAAAATTTATCATAAAGGAGTGGTGTGTGGACTGGATGCAAATGGCCCATTAGCGGGCCCTGCCTTGGGTTCTGTGGAATTTATTGTGCAGATAAACAACTGTCAGCTTCTCAAGGACGCTGCTGATGCGGCTAACACGTAGGCCTGGAGTAGTCTGTTGTCGTGACGTAACTAAGAAGCGTCTGGACCACACGGAAGGCGCTCAGTTGACTCTCAGGATACGCACCGAGCACTGAACTCGGCTCTTCGTCGCAGGACACTACGTTTTTGTCATTTTGGTGTTGGTACAGCCCTGCGACCCGGAGAGCGATATTGAAAAGGGCCCCGACATCCGAGTAAGTTGTTTCACTTGTTGAGAAGCTGATAGTCACTCAGACGGTCAATAAATTCCTCACCTTCTAATGAAACGTTCATTGCCTTGTTCGCAAGTTACAGCGTATGTTGTAGATTCATTTCAATATAAAAGTTGCACTTAGAACAAATAACACAATAAAAAACATTTTAAAACAAAAACCACAATTAGATATAAAAAACCAATATGAACAACCAGGCATATATAAGTTAAAATGCAAAGATTGCCCACTAACTTATATAGGCCAAACAGGACGTACATTCAATCAAAGATACAAAGAACACATAACAGCTATTAAACATAACAAAGAAAACTCAGCATACGCAAAACATATATTAAACACTGGACACTCATACAATAAAATCGAACAAACAATGGATATTATAAGAATAGTTCATAATAAACGACACAGAGACACAGTAGAAAAATACTACATACAACGAACACACAAACAAAACATTGCACTAAATGATAACAACATCCATCTTCAACACCATACAGTTCCTTGACCCAACCCCGTGAAACAACTTTCTCCCTATATATATAACCAACAACAGCATACGTACTCCAGTTACAGTTCATCGTCACCCGCTATCAGACGTAGGTTACTCCGCACAACACAACGTGGTATGTTTTTCATAATATTTTACATTTATATTTCTATTTCTATTTATTTATTTCCTATGTCAATTCCATACTCATTTCATGATAATAATTAGAAATTAATTCCACGGAAAATGAACCTCTGACTACAGACAAACAGCTTATTATGAAGACAGAAAATTCTACAAAAATACCAAAAATAACTAATAGTTTTAAAATATTATAAAGTTGATAAAAACCTGAAGATGAGGTCATAACCATCGAAACATGTCGTCTAATAAATAAAAAAGCGCCAAAATATAATATAATATATTTTATACTACAAATGTTATAATATTATATAATTTTAACAACAGCATTTTAATTACAACGTTTGTGTATAGACTGAAAATAAATACATATTTAATTAACACAAACATGACGCACTTGAGCTACAAATAGAATTTTAGGTACCTTCTGGTTTGTAGCGCTCCGATGATGGAGGCAGCAGGGGCCTCTGAAACGTCGGTAAAGTTATACCAGACTACACACAGCGCTACAACCCAGGAGACAGCCAGGCTTTTATGCACGTTAATAAATGTACCGAGATATTATTAAGCACGTGGAGTCCAATTTGACGAATTTTGATTCTTGGTTGTTCGGGAACTTTATTTCGCCTCTGTTGGTCATAATATGGCTTGGAATGAGACGAGAAGATTGTTATGAATGGTGAGTGGTACCCCTTCGTTGCCTGGGAAGTGTGTAAACTTGGAGGTTGTCAGCGGGGTCGATTTAAAGCGTCGCCAAAATATGTGAACTTCCTTCAGGACATGAATCACTCTTAATAGTTCTAATGTTCGTGGCATTTGAACGACGCTACGTGTTGGTTCACTGTCGCCTGGTGGTGCCGACGCTAAACAGAGGAGTCGCTTTTCTCTTTTTCTATTGTCTATCAGAAAACAACGTGGTTTAAAAATACACTCGTGAGCAACTGCGTCGGAAAGATTTTGGGAGGCATTCAAAAGCCTGAGCACGGCCTGTCCAGTAGGCCTTCAGACTGCGTGAGCGTTCGTATATCGACTTATCGACACATCATCGATTGGTTTCAAAGACTTCCTACAGCGAGGGCAGTTTACGCTCCTGATTTGAGGTCCAGGCTTTGGATCGCATTGCTACGGTTCTGCGTTGTTTTCCTCAGCCTCTCCGGGAAATTTAAGCGGCGTTACTTTAAAATAGACCGCGACCTCTTCTTTCCGCGTTCATTTCAATTTGTCAGTCACAGATTGTTCCATTGCTTGACGCTGGATTTGAAAAAAACATTTAAATAACGTAAACCATTTGCGACGCTGTGCGTCGTTAAATAGCCTCTGCCCGTGCTGATAAGTGAGCTCTGTTGATCTTTTCACGGGTGTCCTCTGGAAACAGGAGCCTTGAAAACGGAAGCATTAAATCTTCATTATTTGAGAGGAAAATCCTCCATCTGCGCCATTGATCTCTGACCCACTGGGGTGGGGTGGGGGGAGCATATTGAAGACACGTGACAACTTCCCTTCTTTACCCCTTTCTCGGGGCTAGTAGGCAAAACGCGTTTTTTCTTCGACTGCGATGTTAGGTCTAGGCGTTCTTTATCGTCTGCGTTTCTCAAACTGTGAGGCGGAGGTGAATACGATCAATGCAGGTGCAGGTCGTCCGAAACGTCGCTCTTCGCGAAGTATTATGATTTTTCGCGTCTGAGTAGATGTTGCGCCAACAAACCTGAAGCAGGCAGAATACCGGAAGTGAAGTCATCGCTGCTGTCAACCCAACAGCAAATGAACGCGTCTTATTGACTTTTAGTTAATGACATTGCCGTTGTAGTCGCTGTTTATTCTTTCTGCAAGGGCAGCCAATCATTGCGGCTTAACCGTCCAGTGGGAACGTGAAAATAACCACTCGGCCTCCAGAGTCCGTGGTTCAACACCAGCGGCCGTGCGGCGTTTTCTTAAATTCATTTCCTTCCTTACCTTTCATCATTCATTGCGCATTGTCTCTTCTGATTCGCACTCGGGAGGTTCTCCGTTTGTATCTCGACCAAGATACCAACTAAACGGGCTCAGTATTGTCGTGATTTTCCTCAGTCTCACCGAATGCTTGTGTAGTAATACGAAACTTCTACCACCAGGACACACGACTTTGACGATAAATGTCGATTGTCGTCTTTGTAGCCTTTAGACCGGCCATTTTAATCTCGAAGTCACACACACAAATTTGTTGTGGAAGGCATTTTGAAGTCTGTTCCGGAAAATGTCCCGTCTTTCGAGGCTTTCAATTTCGCCGGCCTGTGCCTGCCACGTACGCTCGTAGAATTGCGAGTTTCTGCGCGATGGGGTCTCTCGGAGAAACTGCAGACTTCATTAAAATCGTGGAAGGACCCAGCCAGCCGTGAAGAATATGGGGCGACACATAACTCGAATAACTTTCACGAAACTTCTCATTACTTCCTCGTACACGACAGTGGCTTTGTTCTTCTTCTTGTTTACTTGATTTGTTTAGCCTCTCCATTGTTCTAAAGCGGCTGTGGTGCTGCTTTGAGTGGTTGCCTATACAGAAATGCGAAGGGAGGAATCGAATTCATGCCACAAAATCGTATTAACTCTGCGCGTTTCCAACCATAGATTCACTGAGTGAGATTTCAGGTTCTCAAGGCGTCGAATGTGAATGTGACAGCGTTCTGGGATGTTGCGTCATGTGAATTCATGGAGGTAGTAAGAACCTCCGAAACGTCGGCCAACTTATACGAAACAGGTTCATTATGTCTGCTATGTTTGCGGAGCCAGGAGGGTGAGATTTTCTGATTGGTCCGTAGTTTCAAGGTTATCTTAGCGGGATTTCGGGAAACGGATATTGCTACGGTGATGGGCTGGCCAGTGTAGCATGAAACTTCGGGCGCTAATGCAACAGCCGTTTCCTTCGTATTCGGGAGGTCCCAGGTCTGAAATTCGACCACGACGTCAAGTACCCTGAGAGACCAATGGCGGCAGCACCAGCTCGCACCAAAAATCGTTTTGATTTGATCTTGTCGTTCGTCACGTGTTCATGGACGCGGGTCGATGTGATGTCGGTTCAGTGTCCCCCAACAACAAATATTTCTCTTCTCGCGTCTCATCAGCATCCACCCACCCCATCCATTTGCGCTCCGCCACCCCCTCCCCCTCCTAAAGTCTTCATCTTGGCTGGAATTTCGCTCTTGCCGACGTTATTTTTCGGCTGTCCGCCATGTTAGTCCGTAGCTGCTGCTTGCGCGTCAATTGTTTTGCGACTGTACGTATAGCAGTGTCCAAAAACATTGACCTGCGTCTCTTGATTGTATTTATGTTCGTCCTGAGGATTAATGTGGGTCTTGGCTGTCTTCTGGGTTGTTGCGCCGTGCAGTCTGGTAGAAATTTGCCGCCTCCATCATCAGGGCGATCACCCATTGTTCTGATGGTGGAGGCGGCAAGTACTCCCGCGACTAGACGGCGTCACAGCCCAGAAGAAGTCCGCCGTCTTCGTACTCGCCGCTGTGGAAACCTGAGATCCTGGTTGGTTGCTAAAGGAGTCTGTATTTTAAATTTGATAATTGAATTTGTTCTGAAGTTCCCCCCCTTGGTCCTTTCTGACGTGGCCTCTCCACGGCTTTTCAGAATGCCTTCCGTAGGCCTACTGAGCAAGTCTCAAGCCAATAATTCTGCCTGGCAGACATGACAGGGGCCCAGTCTTTATCCTGAGTCAAAATGTGGCTTTGGGTTTGCATTTGCCTTCGTGCGACACTTCGACTTCGCCGCTGAAGGGAACAGAACCGAAGATGGTTCTCTTCTGGGAACTTGCGTGTAAGCTGATGGATATTGACCAGCGTTTCAGAGGAGATTATTGCCTCCCTCATCAGGGGGGATGAGTCCAGTAGGATTGTCCGAAACGTCGGTCACTATCTGCCAGACTGCGCGGCGCAACAGTTGATCTTCGCCTTGAGAATCTGAAATCTCACCGGGAGTAAAATTGCGCGTTTCAGGGCGAGGCCGAGTGACGAAGGCTGAGGCCTTAACTCATATTCTTACTGGACCTAAATTGGAATCGATCGCGTGTTTTTGCGTCTGCCGAAAATTCGCTTTTGAATGCAATTTTTTTTGTCTTGGGCTCGCCTATGAATAGGCCTGGGGACCAAAATGGCGGAGGCGTAGGCCCCGGAGTGGACACATCGATAACAGCTGCAGTCCTTATTGAGAAGCTGATAGTTGCTCAGATGGCAAAGAAATTCCAAACTCGTGTTCACTAGCAGGCTCTGTCCTGGGCCTGAATTTTGTCCTCCGCTCTCTGGACCTAGGACTGTCTAGGCCTGCAGGCCTGTTTCTGAGCAGAGCCAGGCCGAGGTGTCTCTGAGAAAATTCAGTTTGGCTGTTGCATTGCTTGCCCGTGGGCTGTACGACGACAAGAGTTACATCGAAGTCGAGGCGTAATCTGAACAATAATTCAATTTATTTACGTGCGTGGTGACGTCATGAACCCACGGCCAACTGCAAAATAAACACGAATTTAAAACGAAATTGAACAGATTTGTATTATTTAGACATCAGCTCGGCCGAATAAATTATAATAATAACGAATCAGTTTTGATTTCCGTGTGACGTTAAGTCCCCGCGACAGGTCGAAGTCCGTCGTGCGAACTTTGTTGCAAGTTCCATGGTCCGACTGTAGACAACAATAGTTTTCGAAAAAACACGAACATCATCGCGAAAAACAAAAATGAAGAGGAATGATGGGCGTGGCTGGAAGTTACTTTGCATGTCAATCATTGGCCGGAGATCACTTGAGAGCGCACTGCTCATTGGTCGTGGCTAGAGCCGGGGGGGAGGTGCTTTGATTGTTACGGAGTGTGGGGAAGAATGGGCCGTCCCAGCGTCGG